AGCAGCATCCCTATTTTATTGAAGAAACTAAAGCTTCAGTGTGATTAATATGTTCTCCAAGGTGAAGTTTTTAGTAAGGGCAAGAACAAAAGAGGTGTCAGGCCTCCTGATTTTAATTTTTTCACTTGTACCCCTTTCAATGGACAAGTGTTACTGAATCCTTAGCATAGGACCAGCATCTATGAGGGACTATTGAGGTTTCAAAGACACTGTGACTTGGTTCCAGACATTCTGGCACTTACAACTTGGTTCATCGCAAGTGAGAGATAAGGAAAGGCTGAGTCGTGTGCATTTTAATAAGATCTTGGTCTTTGGCTCAGTAAATGTTTCTTGAGCATTATGTGCAGACACTGGAAATTGGAGCAGAGGGACACAAAGATGAAAAGGATGTATGTAGTCTCCATTCTCCAGAAGTTCAGTCCAACAAGGAACCTCCCTGCTCAGAACCATTCAATGGCTTCCTGCTGCTTCCAGGGTACAATCCAAAGTGCTTGTGTGGCCCACAAGGCTGCTTGGGAGCTGACCTTTGCCCTCTCCCAGTCTCACTGCTCCAGCCCCACTGGGCCTCCTTCAGTTCCTTCTGGGTAAACTTTATTCCTTCCTTGGGATTATTCTGTCCTGGGATAACTTTACAGATGTGTCACTTGAACAGGGCCTTGAAGAATGAATAGGTTTCCAAGCAGAAAGCCATGGGGAGGGAGGAGGAATTTGACATAGAGGAGCTTGTGGGGTGTACTGAGGAGTAATAGCTGGGAGGGGGGGAAGTTTTGCAGAAAAGGCAAAACATTCTTTGTGCAAAACCAACTTTGAATGTGCTGGTCTGGCAAGGCTGGAGGTGGGCCTAGGGTGGCAGGATGGATGGGAATTTGGGTGTGGGAGAAGGAGCACCTCAGCAAAGTTCCAGAGCTGAGATTACCTGAGGACAACCAGGGGCAGAAATGCAGCCCTAGAGGCAAGTTGGGAGGSAGTGCTCTGTGGGCTGGTGTGGCTTGTCAAGCAGGAGACTCAAACTCCAGTTGCAGCTCAGAACTTGCTTTGATGTCTTTGCTCCAGCCATTTCTCTTCCTCTGGGCCTTGGAATTTGTAAGGAAGATGGAGTAAATAATCTCTGTCTCCTTTCCAGATGAAATGTGCTCCTTAAAGGTCAGGCGATTTCAGTGACTTGCAGAAGCTGGAAGTATGCAAGGCATTGGAGGAGAGAACAATTTCCAGGAGGAGAGAGATCGGRCCCATGCAGAGCACTGGCTTCATAGGACTCTGCAGCATCCTGAGTTCTGTGCAAAAAGGATGGAGGGGAAGCAAGGGACTAAGGGTCCTGCCACTGGATGGGGTGGATGAGGGTGGCTGCAGCCTGTAACTCATCCCTGTCCCACCAGGAACAGATCAACCCCCCATGGAATATTCCTGACGTTTCCTCCCTACTACCGTGATCTCAGTGTGGGGAGAACCAGGCCCCACCACCAGGGGAGAAGGCTGCTGTGGGCCCATAAAACTGAGGGAGAGGTTGGACATATTCAAAGAGTAAGGGGGGAGGGTGAAGAGCTGAAGGAGCTCTCTGGACTGTCCAAGTGACAGAATAAGCCCCTCACACAGGTTTTTTCTCTACTGACCCCTTTCTGTTCCATGGATGTCACTTGTCCCCCCCMCCCCCTTGTTCTTTTTCTTTTTTTGGAGCTTTCAGGGAGGGGGAGCAAGGCGAAGAGACTTTTTTTTTTTTTTTTTTTTCACATGAGCCTTCAGAATTACAGTTCACAAACTATTCAGTAAACTGACCGGCCTCAACCTCCCCTTCAACGGCCTAATCTAAGGGGTGGATCTATGTGTTTTGTTGCTTGTCAGAAACAATCGCTGCGCGGCCCATTACATTTACAGCACGTCGCCCTTTAATTGGTGTAACACGCTGAGGCCTGAAAGGAGGAGAGGCCCACAAAGGCGCCGTGAATGAGCCTTGACTCACACAAAAACACTCTGCAGAAGTTCAGAGCTGGCCACTAACAAGGAGGTAGGGAGTTAGTTTGAAAAGGGGGTGAAGTTCAGAAATGTGTCACCTTGAGGAGCGTCCCATCAAAGCAATGGTCGCATTGACAAGCTGCAAAGAAAAAAGTTAGACCTTTCAGCGCTATGGACCTGTCTGCTGGATTTATTCTTAAACTTGAGGAGGGACAACGAGAAGGGAGTCTCTTTTTTCTCTCCTTACCCGCCCTGGATTCTTTGCTCCCCTTTATTTCAGAAAGCCTTCAAAGAGTCGGAGTGAAAAAAAACACACCTTCCACTCCCCACCCCTGCTAAGATACACTATTTAAAAAATAAATGTATCAAAAGTCAGGAGGAATGAGGCGGCCTTAGGCTGTGAAGGCTGATTTCGGCCTCGGTGCGAAGGGCGGGTTTTTTCAGTACCATCTTGTCTCTCCCGCCCTCCGCGTCTTCAGGGCCAGTGCCGAGGCCAGGGCCAGTGCAGAGGCCCTGGGCTGCTGGCGCTGAGGCCTAGGCCCGGGCGCAGCGCGGAACTGGAGATGCGCGGAGAAGGTGCACACCAGCGTAATGAGGGTGCCCTGCCYCGGGCAGAGTGGACTGGGGCGGGCCACTTGGAAGCCTTTAAGTCAGTTGGGTTCTGAATGCAAATGTCTTGTGCTTGCCCAAGGAGGACCCTGTTTTCCCTCTTCCGGCCTGTAACCCACAAAACAGCCAAGTGGGTTTCCAAACTTAGGTACCGGGCCCAAAATTAAATATCCTTAAGAGAAATGTGCAAGGGCCAGGGGTGAAGGGCACCCTTCCTCCATCAGGATGGGCTCAGCTCCTCCGGGAGCACCTTCCTCGCTCCAGAAGCCCAGATTTTACCTAGTGGTGGTAGCGCTGGGGTCAGCCTCCTTTGGTACCCACTGGTGCACCCWCCTCCTGCCCTTCCTGTGGGGGGCACCGCACCACGCCTGCGCCCGAGTGGACGGACACCTCTGTGTCCACTTCCCCTGCGTGCGCCCTGAGCTCCCCAGGCACCCTCTCGGCTCACCCCCTCCCGGCCTTTGTCTTGCGACTGGACCCCCGCCCCTCGCGCTGCTCCTGTGAACCGGCTGCCCCGTGTGAAGGCGGGGGCACTTTTCAATGCCGCGCCGCAGCTCCCTCCAGATTTGTAATCCGCCAAAAAGCCGCTGATTGCTGCAATCGTTACTTTTCATTAAAAAAACTTAGAAGCAATTTGGGAGAACCCTTCTCAATGAATACATTTACCCCCGAACGGTCTTTATTCTCCGCCTCCACTTGATGAGTTTCTCTGGCACGAATCCGTTCTTACAGGCACAGAATGGGCAATCCCTTGATCCCCGTCAATTGTCATCCCGAGTCGGGGCCACTTTGACCGCCAATAGTGGGGAAGTCAGAGCTAATCCTCAGAAGGAATCACGGGAAAAGAAAAGCAACAATAACCAAGTCAAGCGTAAAAAATGAAAGAGAAATCTCTATTATCACTCACTACATTTCCCAGCTATGTACTGAAAAAATCAGCTCGCTTGTCATTCGAGTCAGACACCCGCACAAGAATATGGGGTCGTGGTGGGTTGGTAGACTCACACGACGTAAGGAGCGATATTTGAGAGCGAAAGGCCTCTCTTCTGCCTCTGCCAAATCCCCCTCACATCCGCCATAACCATTAAATACAGACTGACTTTATTCTGTATGGGGAGGCCCAGGGGTGGGTGGTGAGGGAGCCCCCCAGCTGTGCACGGATACAAAAAAAAAAATCCCTGGAGAGTAGGATGGGGGCGGGGTAGGGACGCGGAGGAAACGCGCCCCTCTCCTGGAACCTCCCACTCCCCGCCCGCAGGCGGCTCTGCCAAGCCTTTAGCGGTCCAACCACCGCGCGGGCATCTCCTAGGCGCTCTGCCCACGACCCCCGCACTCCGCTAGCGCGTGTAGCCTAGGCGGCCGTCTAAGCTCTGGCCCAGGTGCCCTGTGCGCTAGGCGCGTGGTTGGCTCAGCCCCACGTCTGGCAGGGAACCGTGGCCCTCGAGCTGTGGCTGGGTGCGGCGTGAGAAGTCTGCGGAGAGGGGGAGCAGACACAGCGAGTCTTGCAASTGTGCAAACATTTCCACTTTCCACGGTGACACCTACAATTATCTGACACGGGCCTTGATTCCTTTCTGTCACAGTCGAGTAAGGGGCAAAGTTAGTTCTCATGAGGCGGATGTCAAGCAGGCCGCCGCGTCTCCGGGGAAGAGTAGCCCCAGCAGCGGACCCCCCCCCCCAACACATCTTCGAGGTTAGGGACGGCTCCTGTACCAGTAGACGAGGGGGTCCACGTCCATACTCTCACTCGCATCGACTTGGTAGGGCCCCGGAGGATCTGAAGCCCAAACTGCCTCGGGCGGAGAAAGCTCCCGGGCCGCGGTGTGGTTCTGGCTCGTGCAGCGGCCTTTCCACGTTCACTTCTCTGGTTATGTTAAAAAGTCGGTCTTTGGGCGTCCTTGTGGCCACTTTCATTTTCTTTGAGTGGGGAGAGGGAAAGATAAGGCAATGGAAAGGTAAGGCTGCCTTTCCTGGTTGCTCATAGAACCGTAGCAAAGGGCGCGTACTGCACCAAGGTGTTTCCTTTCTCACCCTGTCCACCCGACGGGTGCAGCTGCAGACGGAAGCTCTGCCTCCTGCCTCCTGCTGGGTCCCCTAAAGGGCTTCGGGGCGTCCCGAGGCATTGAAGGGATCCTGTCTTACCCCTGGTCTCCCAAACCTGTGAAACTCGCTGTGCTTGTCTCGCTGGGGAACCTCTCCTGTTTGTCACCTCCCTCCTCCGCGCCACACTCCACATCACACATCACATACACGATATCCTATGTATATATTACATACACTACGTTTCATTTACACACTTGTGTACACACATGCAGAAAAAACAAGTTCACGCAGTAACAAACTTACAAAACATATCACACTTATAAAAGAGTTGAACGCACTCCCCCCCCCCACACATTCCTGCACACACAAGCACAAGCTGCACGTGCACACTCCCGCGCATGCTAGCAGTGTACAAGTACGCGCCCTTGGGCGCCCATGAACCGGCTTTGTCCGGAATGGCGAGTCTGGCAGAGGGGACTAGAAGGAGCCACCCAAGTGGTGGGGAGGGGATCACAGGCTTTGGCCTTGGGCCTGGTTTGGGGATCCTTGCTAGAGAGCAGGGCCTGGAACTTTTTGTGGGGTCAGCGCTACACTCATAGGGCTTATCCTTCGAGCACTGCAGAGTTGGGCCTGTCTAGGGGCTTCACCGACTAGGTTAGAGCCCTCAGCAAGGACCCGCTCACAGAGGCACTGGACACTCGCCCATGTGCCCCCAAAGGAGTTGGACAGGATTCCCTACCCGGGCTGCGGGAGTGTGGGTGGGATGGGCAGAAAAGGAGGAGATCCAGTGAGCACCATCCTTACCCAGGTTGGGCAGCCTGGGGGGAARGCTTAGAGGGCGGGGGTGATAATCACAATCTACAAAGCCATTGAGAGCTTTCAGTCCTGCCCCAGATTTACATAAATGGAATCCACGCTTGGTCCGTGGTCTGGAAAGGGTGCTTGCAGAGAGGGCGACACTCTGCAATCCTAATTAGTGATTTTTGTCCCCTTGTTACTGGGCTCAGCATCTCATGCAAATGAACTCTTCATTTCAGCCACATTACCCCAGCTCCAGAATTAACTGACTCTTATCTTTAATGATATGCTGCTGAAGTTCTCCGAGCCCGGCTAGCTTTTTATCTTGATTACTCTAATCAATAAGAAATGATAGAGTAGAATTATAAACTCTATTGGCTTTTAAATGTTGCCGACAAGCCCTCTAGATGCCATTCCTGTTCATTGTTATTTATTAAAATGATCCTCAGCCTAACAGCGGATGCAAATAGAGAGATGAAGAAGAAGAATTGGCCTTGGGACTCGTCCCAGCCAGTCCCTGACATCACGCCCCCCCACTGCCCCGCCCCTGGGAAGATTCCTCGCACTTTGGACTTGAGAAGGTGAAAAACACCTCCCCCTACATACATTTAAAAAGCTTTCGAAAGAAAATTGCTCTTTTGAAGTCATCAGAGAAAAAGAAAAACAAATGAAGACCCCCCCCCCCACTCCATCCAGATAGACCTCCTTGAAGGTAGAAGATTTGAAAAAGGCATTTGGAGACATAGAGCCTCATGCTCTGGGAATAAAAATCTGTAGAACACAGGCGTGGGCACACCCGCGGGAAAGCACAGGCACATAACATACACTCTTCATCTGTCGACCTCCCCACCCCCGCATGGACTTTCTGCATACCAGTATCTCTAGATTTGGGGGTAGGTATAATTTCAGGCACACCTCGCAAATGCAATTTTCCTACCCACTTCTGGGAAAAAAATGGGGATGAGGGTACCTTCACTTTTGCAGAAGTTACTTCAACTCTAGTTGGTAGGTGGGTGGTGGTTGGTCAAGGCGTCAAAACGCTTTGAATGGAAAGTTTTGGTGATTCCTAGACCTCCAATACCAGATACTCCGAGATCAGAGCCCATCCTTTCAGTCTCAGGAAGTTCATCACCCACACCAGCCTAAGATCCAGAATCCAAGACCCTTCCCGTCGTTTTAGTCTCACAGACCAAATTCGAGAGGCACTGTTTCCCAAGAAGCCAAAAAAGAGAAAGAGATGGCTCACTGAGAGTGAAAAATGGGTTGTGAAATGAGTTCACAGAGGATAGGAAGCTTTGCTCCCCATCCTTCCCCCAGCTTATTATCTTCTCCTCCCTCCCTCAGCTATGAGTTTGGTTTCAGGTGGGGTGGGAGCTTCTCAGGGCGTTCCACGAGGGCCCGAGGCTGCTGAGAACACCCGGCCGTCAACACACATCAGAATCATGTACGAATTTCACTCGTTTTCGTTAAGAGCCAATAAACATCCATTAAGAGTCTACTCTGCGCGCGGCACACTGTCAGGAGCTCCGGACAGGCTGGAGAACCATTTCCTTTCCTCCTTGACCTTCTGCCCCTTTGGCGCTTTGGGTGGGTTCTGGAAATCCCTAGCATCCAAAGCCCCGAAAGCACGCAAGGAGGAGGCGCGCACGCACTACTACGTCCGCGCCCCCAATTCGGTTGGCCGGTGCGCTGCCACCCAGCAGGGCGCACCATGAATGTCTAGTCACGTTTCTGCCCATCCCTACTCTCCCACCGCTGGACGACGAGTCCCCGAGMGGCCAAGCAGCCGCTTGGACCTTTTAGCTAAGAACTCCATTATCTTTTCTGCCCACCCCCTCCCGCGCCCCCAGCAGAGCCTAGAGAGCAGGTTGGCTCTCTGGCCTCGGCCGGCGGGGAGGCTGCGCGCCGGGTTCCCCAAAGACCGGCGGCTGCTGAGCCTGGACTCAGCAGTCAGCAATCTGCCAACGCACTGGCTAGGGGCTGAGAGCTGGGAGCGGAAGGGACCGGGACCCAAACTCAAGTCCTCGCCATGGCCGCGGTTGAGCCATGGAAGGAAGAGTTGGAAATCGCCGAGAAGCTAAGCCTTTTTTTTTTTTTTTTAATGACACATGGGGGAAGGGCTGAATGTATCAAAATCATGTAAAATTTCTGTTCTTAGCAACATCCTTGTTATTAGGAATGATGACTAAACCGCCAGGATTATTCTGGACTGTAAGTTATCAAGAGCCCACTAATTTCACATTAAAGCCCATTGACTGCAACGGCGTGATTGAAGGGTTTTTAACAATTAACATAATCAGAAAATGAGCTGAGATAATTTTTATTCAACTCATTACTTTTTAATCATGTATTTCTTTTAATTAATATCTTCTCCGTGAACATAACACAAAGCAGAGCCCCAGTGCTGGCCCAAGCCAGCCTGCGGGACTGAATTTGACACAGCCAAACATTTCACCAGCCTCATTCATTGCATCTCTATTGTGGTGTGGGTGAAATAGAAAAATCTTGTCCAAAAGTCACCATGTTGTTTTGAAACACAATTTAAAAGGTGGGGGGGGGGGCTATTGGGAGCTCACAAGCCATACAATTTTAATTCGACYTGACTTTTATATTTGGGCGCCTCTCTTGACTTGCAGCCAGAGAGATACAAATGGGAATAAACAAACAGGAAGAACAAGAAGAAGAAAAGGCTTTTGGCGGTGAATACCTGGTCCTGGGTTCGCAGGGAAGTAGACTGGTTCCCTGCACCCATGAGGTGGGCGGGTGGGACAGACCTTGGCTTCCAAATCGACCCTAAAGGACGGATATCGTCAGGGGTTACTGGTCCGGGCCCTTCCATCACCATCATCCCACTGGTGATGGAAGGGACCCAACCCCGCCAAGTCTCTCCATTCCCCCAGTCTCAGCGACCCGCRCTCCTTTCTTTAGGGCAGCCTCCTGAACCACTGCCCAGATCACTGTGTGCACCCACTGTGTGCCCAGGTGTTTTCATTAAGGTCTGGTCAGAGCCATGACCTCATCTGTTCCACAAGATTTCCTGGTATCCCCAACCCAGGAGACTTGATTCCGTTCAAATGCCTCACWTGGAGCAGAGAAGGAGCAGTTCTGGTAGCACTTCTGGTAGCATTTTTTGGAAGTTTCAGCCTCTTTCTTGGCGACCCTCTCTACTCACTCAACTTTGAACCTAGGGTCATCTCTCCTGTGGCCTGACCACCACGTCTTTGGTACCTCCAAAAGGGTCTRTTTGTGCACTAAGATGTCTTGCAGTATGAGAGCAGCATCAGCCTCTGAAAAAAGAAACAAAGCCGACCCCTGGTGGAAGAACATGAAAGTTTAAGAATTTTAAGGTTTGGGGGAACTTCATGCCACACACTTTGTAGGAGACAGGAGGGAGAGGAATATAGAGCAGAGGGATAAAAAGAATAAATAAAAGGAAGATTGGAAGAGGCAGAGAACTGGAGAGCCCACATAGCTGGTGAATTCGAGTGAAGAAAGGTGGGAAAAGTGAGACTCAGAAACTGAGCTTTTAGGCCCTTGGGTCAAGCATGCTTTCTCCATCATTGTGGTCTGGTCTGTTTGGTGTCAAGCAAGGATATCCAATTTCCTTTCTTAACATCAGGGATCTGGAAGCTCTGTGATTACAGAGAAGAGAGATGTTTCAGTCTGACACTGGCACCTGCTAAGATCTGCCTGCCCCAAGGAACATCCATATTCCAGAATCATCCTCCTCTTCCTTCTAAACAAACCTCCGCGTCCACCGTTTTGCCCTTTTAGCCTTCAGTATCTGATATTAACGAAAGAAAAATTAACCGTCCAAGGGGAAAGTGGATAAGAATACAAGCCCCATTCCTTTGATATTTATTCATTTTTAATAGGGACCATCTGGGGCACAGGTTTGAGCCCAGATGATAGAGGTATTTCAGAATCTAAAGCAAAACAGTGAGAGGAGACCCACAGTGAGCCTCTGCTGATGTCCAAGACCAAACAGTTAAAAAGAAGAATAAAGAAAAGGTGACATCAAAAATAAGGTCTCACTGATTAGCATGTCACTGTTTACCTGGAGTGAGCACTTCAAGTTAATCAAGGAAGTGCAAAGGATGGCATTTGTGTCCTTGAGCTTTTTAAAGCCTCTCTTGAATTCACTATCAAGATGTACCTCAATGTTGCTCCCTTCCTACCTTATCTCCTATACAGTGTATTGATCTTCAGGGATTTTTTTCCCCCACACATCTTTCCTGCAAACATTTTCTTTTCTTAATTTTTAAAGATTTTTAAGTTTTTTATTTGTTCTTTTTAGATATACATGAAGCATTTTCTTTTCTTGGAAAACTCCCCAATCTGACACTTTACTGGAAGCTTACCCATCCTTTAAGATAAAGGTTCAATGTCACTGGTCCCTTAAAGACAACTTTRTTATTTACCCACCTTTCAACTCTTCTCATATAATACCGTTTCCTTTAATTTTCCTCTTCTATCATAGCTACTTCAATAAGAGAATTAATTATATACACTTTACCTTTTCTACTAGTTTGTATGTCCCTAAAGTGGGTATTGAACATAGCACTGAATCCAGGACTTGGGTCTGTTCACAGGGAATATTTTTTGAATTGTAGGCTGTTGGCTGGGATTCAGGGTTTGGCATTTTAAGCCAGGCTTAGGA